GCTTGTCGTAAGGGGCGACTGAAATACAATAGTTCCCGCGACAGTCGGGTCTTTATACCCGAACGTGCCAGATTTTTATCCGGCCAAGGACTGTTACTCCCGCAATATTCCTCGAACAGTACTTCAGGGAATATTTTTGCGGTTACAACAACAAAAACAACCATGTAACTCACGTCCCAGTTACATAGTGAGGAGTACTGAAAGTGATTGAAAACTATGGCAGAGATTATCGACTCAGACTATTGATTCTTACCTCAATCGGCTATCTGACGAAGTATTGGAAAGTAGTACCTGGATTACGAGGGAGGGTAGTGAGTTAATTAAATTTTAATGACGTGGTCAATGTTTCCGATACTTTTCATGGGTTTGTGTTGTTTACACTAGTGCGGTTTTCATAAAGTTCTCGGCAACAAAAAAATATAGATCTTCAATGGGTTTCTTCTAATATCGGTAAGGATTCATCATGGCTTACTACCAATAGTTTTTCCTGCTGACATCCAATTGGTTAAGAGTGTTCGCAGTGACCTAAAATCAACTCACCACCGAAATACGAGGCATACTCGGAGAGTAAGTGTACAAGCCTGATACTGTAGTACGTAGTGTGAACCATTTCTCAATATAATCGCCATTCCTCTTTATGCAAGTGGTGAAGCGGGGTATCAGTTTACTGATGCCTTCCTCGGAATGCTATCCCGAGAACTGCTCCCCCCACTTCTCCACCTCCTCCTTGACCTTCCGCTTGTTGGTTTTGATCGCCGAATGCTCATCTGCTGTCAATCTGCGTTCGTCGGGGAGCGTGTTTTCGATTTTTCAGATATTTGGTCGGTCACAATGGAAGGTCTCTTCATCATGTGGAGACATATGAAGATTTTTTAATTTGTGAAACAATTTGTAGACATTCCTGCCATTCAAAGCCTTATTATCAGGAGCATTTCAACTCTTTATAAATCCCAAACGGAGGTTTTTCCGAACAAACGAGATAACAGAAAACGTTCGTTTCGTTCTTGGCGAAAGACTGAAGTGTTTCTGTCACGAGCAATGAATTCGCTTCAATGCATTGACCCCGAACCAGTCTCGTTGCGAATTAGAGAAGTGTGGCTACCCTACCGTGTTGCCAACATAACGAAAATCAAATCCTTTCAGCCGTAATAGCTTTGAAAGCTTACTTTGTGGATGCGCTTCGTATTAAAGCAAACGTTGTTTTTACAAATAAATACATTTTATTGAATAAAAAAAATATTTACATAACAAAAACTTTGAATTTTGTTTACTCACAGATAACTCATGTTTACTTGAAGTCATCATCAAAGCAAAAGTAATGAATTCGCTTTGTCAAAAACAGATTCAAGATAAACGTTTTTCAGAACTCTTCTTCTGTTTTTTTTTTTTTTTGTTTCAAAATTCATATAACTTTAAGCATTATTATGATTAATATGAAAAACTGTTTGCACACACACACGCACACGCACACACGCGCACAATAAGATGTGTGCTTGCAACAGTTGCAATAGTTGCCAGTTGCAACTTGGAGGTAAAGTTATTAATCTGCAAAGAAATAATGAAAAAGTAAGTGCCACCGGTGCAATGGCGCATTGACAGCAAAGAAAAGTAAAGCAACGAAAAAAGAAAAGGAGCGGAGAAATGTATTTTAATGCACGCATGCAAACACACACTTATGCACATGTACATATGGGTGAGCTTGCAACTAAAACTGTACACATTTCTTTTACTTGCCACTCATAACTCGTGAAACTTTTGCCAAAAAGAAAGAAGCTTGAACTTTTGCACCTGCACCTCGAACGCACGAGCTGAGGTGATGAGATATGTATGAATGTATTTATGTAAGAGTAGAGATTATACAGCTATACATGTGTGTGTGTGCAACCTTTTAAGCCATGCTGGAGTGAGTTATAAATGACAAAAAGTTGTTTTTTTTCTACTTTTCCGCAGTGAATGTAGCGGAAAAACGTTCAACAAACTACAAGAAGCACACACACATACACACTCACACACGTAGGCATCTCCCTACAACAGGTTGAAAGTTCGGCACAAATGAAGCCAGCATTTGAAATGCCCTTGTAGCCTGACAGCAAATTTTACCATGTTCTTAGTTACTTGCTTATTTTTCTTCTCATCTCTTACTTTACTTTTTCTCTCAAAACAATTTCTTTTGGAAAACTTCTTTGGTTGTTGCTTTTAATCTGCGCTTGTAGTGTGTTCCAGCGAAATAGAAATTATGCAACCAAAGGTTGGTAGGTGTAGATGCTTTAGCCTTCCTTCTAATATATATTTTTTTAATAATTTTTTTTTTTTTTTGCTTTCCCATCTGCCACTTTTGGTTGCAAGCACACATGCATTAAGCGTGCGGCAAAGGGCGTGGATTTTCTGTTTAATAGCTTGGCAGTTATTTGTACTCTCTTCTTTTTCACTCATCTTTATTTTTTTTTTTTTTCTTGTTTGCGGAATTTTTTACCGATCTTCCGTTCTTTGTTATCTGAAACATTTTGGCCATGTTGAAACTTCACCTCTGCGAGTATTTTTTTCGGTGCCATATAACGTTGCATTTTTTTGTCATTTACCGTTATGCATTTATGCCACTGCATATTCTTTCTTGTTGCCGTGCATAATTTTAGTGCTGATGTTACAGTTTTTGTATGGGGACTCCCTTTTTCAGCTCGCTTTGTCTTGCTTTGTATTTGTTGCGTACACCTAATGCATTTTAAGCAAAAGCATTTATATTCTTTTATCTTCAACTAAATTTCATTCTTTCTTTTTCTTTTTAATTTTTCTTATAATCTCGCCTTGTTTTCCGAATTGTGGGCAACAGCTGTAAGGACATGCTCCTTCCGAATATAATCTTCTGTGTCTTCTTGTGAGCCATGAGTAACTTTTGCATTAATTTTAAGTGATTTCCTGCAAGTTTTTAAGTTGAGTAAAGCTTTCTCGTATAATGGAATGGTATGACGTATCATTTTGTGGTTAAGGACTGCAGGCATAACATCAGAAAGATATCCTATCCCTAGTCAGTTCTAAAGGCAAACAGGTTTTAATATAGAATAAACCTAAAATCAAAACTCAAATCATTACCTTGAATAGGATCGAAATAAATAAAGACGCCTAAAAAGCCAAAGAGAGACAAAAAAATAATTTAAAAGCAATCCAAAAAAGCAAACATTTTACCCTGATCAAACGTCAGAAAACCCAAAGAATAAATACTACAGATATAGAGACGAAGAAGGTCTAAAACATCAAGCAATGAAAAGGTTGAAAGCCACACCCAGAACGATTTCAAAATAACACATAGTCAACATCAACATTAAGAGCAGGGCAATGACCAGTTCAGCTATGAATACCTAGAAACAGAGTATATCACAAAAAAAAATAAATAAAGTAAAATATAAAAAAAAACCAAATATAAATATCATGACATAAACTAAATTAAATTAAATTAATTTGAAATGCATTACATTAAACTAATTAACATAAGATAAAATAAATTTAATTTATATAAAATAAAATAAAATAAAATAAAATAAAATAAAATAAAATAAAATAAAATAAAATAAAATAAAATAAAATAAAATAAAATAAAATAAAATAAAATAAAATAAAATAAAATAAAATAAAATAAAATAAAATAAAATAAAATAAAATAAAATAAAATAAATAGGAATCAAATGAAATAAAATAAAATAAGATAAAATAAAATAAAATAAAATAAAATTATTTTAAATTAAATTAAATTAAATTAAATAAATTACATTAAAAAAAAACAAACTAAAATAAATTAATATGAAATAAAATATAATAAACTTCAATTAAACTAAATTAAAAAAAAAACCAAATAAACTAATATTATCCAAAATTTTTATTTTTTTATTTTTACTGAATAGAATCTGTAGCAACAAAATACTATATAAGATAAACATATGTATTGTACATAGGCTAGCAGACCCTACCACACACTGTTGTACCTTTAAGTGTTTTGTCCAATTTTTATTATAAATGGTATGGCAAAAGTACGATTACGATTAATTTTTATCACTTCTTCTTACTTCTTCACTGCTCAAAGTTTTTGATGAAAATTTCAATGAAAAATATTAGCACAAAATATATTGACCACCTGCCAATTAACTGAATATTTTTCCACTGCATACCTTACGCATTAACAACTGCTCGTAAATATCGTTACCTGTGCAACTATCTAACGTCAACGCTTCTTCGCTGGTGCAAAAAAAAAAATATTCCCAACGCACTTAACACTTATACTTAAGTGCATTAAATGCTATTTTTACGCGTCAAAATTAAGTTTTACGGTGTTAGTGAGTGTAGCGGCGCAATGCAGAATATGGTTTTCAGCTATTTCTACCTTTTTCGCCTGTATGTATATTTAGCGGTAGTTGCGTCGGTCGTGCTTCATAATCCACGCTAATGTATCTTGCATAATTTAAGTGCTTTTCGCACTTTACTTCTCTTCTCTTGTGGTTGCAGCAATGTTGATGACAGCGGATTGCGTGTAAGCGTTAAATGTATGCGTACGCTTGTATATATGTAATCTTGTGCGTTAATTTAAAAGTGTATATGCTATTGGGCAATGAAATTATCGATAAGTCGGTGAATAGACCATGAGAATACTCTGCTATTTCAGCTGGCTGGTGGCACAAAAAGCCGGCGAATTAGCGCTTCATACTGCCATTCGGGAGGATAGGGTTCGAATCTTAATCGTTAATTCAAAATTATAGAAAATTAAATTTTTTGTAATTGCGCTCGACCTTCGGCAGGGAATGTGAAGCCATCGAGCGTATTTCTGACATGATAATAAGAGCTCGTCATAAAAATCTCTCGGCCGCTCGGAGGATAAACTCTGGCGCCCCACGTTTGTTGGAAAAACATCGAGACACATACCACATGTTCATCCTCAGGTCCAATACTTCACCAAAATTTACATATTTTCCATTTTCACAATGAACAATGCAATATTTCTTTTAGTAATTTATTATATTATTTATTCGAGGGGGAAAATGCTTAACACAGGTTGAAGGATAAATACTTCACATCTGTGATTTAAAAACAGCAAATGAAGAACAAAACGTAATTAAGAAAACTTTAAGAAAAAGATTGTAATTATTATTCAACAAGAAAACTATGAATATTGGTGTAAAAAGCTTTAGTACCAGCCCACCGGCTTGGTGGCTCAAGCGTACTTTAGTCTATTTGCTTCCTCAGTGATCTCTTCGACAATATAATTCATGTTGATTGTACTCATGGAGAGGCTCTCGATGTTCAACTGAAAGGAATTCAAGCGTAAAGTTTTGTAGATCTTCGAAAATGTTGTGCTGTGATGTGGTATATAGTAGTGCATAATAGCGCCCTCTTGCCTGTAGAAAATATCAAAGTTGAAAAAAAAAATTTACTTTTTCAAATAAGAAACTCACACCAAATTTGAGCTCGGAAATGTCTTCTCCATAAAAGCAGTTAAACGAAAATACACTTTCGATATAACGCCCTCCGGTGCCTGCACTGATTTCTTCATACGCATCCAAATTGAATAGCCCGGCGCTACCTCAGTAGCGATTTTCTCCGGTCGACCGATATGCACGAAGAGGCCGTCATGCATAACGGCGATTTTCGTGCAAAGAATTTCCGTATACGAATTCGCAACGGATGTGATGGCAATAGCCGTGCCTTGCTTGCGTAGACCATCTACGAGGCGATACAATTGCCGCCTACCCTCCGGATCAACACTCCAACTAAAATTACCAATGCAAATCAGTGATGGCTTCTTCAAAATGGCAATTGCATAGGAAACTCGCTCCCTTATGCCCGTGCTGCAGGCGCTCATACGCACATTATAGTGTGACTGCAAGCCGAAGCGATTAGCAAAATCTTCACAGATTTCATTGATCAGATTGCGTGGATAGCCATAGAGTATGCAGAAAATTTTCAAAACCTGACGGCATGTGAGCATCGGCTCTACACAACTAACGATTGGCACATAGCCGATGTGTGCAAGTGCCTTATTGTGTTCCTCTGTCGTTGATATGTTGTTGATGTAGACACGACCAAAGCTCGGTGTATCCTGACCGGCGATAAGGCTGAGTAGCGCATTAGTGTAGTTACAGTTAGAGCCAATAATGCCAAACCTTTCGCCGCTGAAAAAAAAGCAAATAGTAATTAAATTTATTTTTAAGATATTATTTGCATTGCGCGCTCACGGTCTGATGGTGAATGTTAATCGGTCGACTAAAATGCGACCCTTGCGTATCAAACCCAAATTTTCACAGATCACATTGTAGTAATAACGCATACGAGGTCTCAACGATTGCACGTGTATGGCTTCGCCTGTGACGCCATCGACTTCGTACGAATCGCTTGCATGACGACGCTTGTGCTCGTCGAGTGCCCGATCGCTGGAAAAAAAATATTTTTCATTCACATTTAAAATTATTTAGGAAATAAAAAATCAAAAGTTATTACGTCATCGTTTTTAAAAAGTTCTCAGCACATAATAGTGTTCAAAACAAGTTTTTTTTAAGCTTCGTCTGTTGAACTCAAACGGGCTCTATAAAGTGGTGATCAACACTGCATACTTCGCTTGGCAGAACTAAAAGACAAGATTTCCGCGGTCAGCGCAAATTACCAGACACCACGTGTTCCCAAGAATACCAAGGCTTCTAGATTTATTTAGTAAAGTTTATTCATGCCAACCCCCTCCTTTAGTAGTAAAGAAACAACATATTTTACTGCTCTCTTTTCACTCGCACCAAGCATTACAAAACTTCGATCACAATAATAATCGCCCTAAGCATTTTATAATTCATACCGCGAAACAATCCCTACGTGAGAACTTTTCACTCAAGTCTGAGGTCTATTATATTTAAGTCAGTTTTTATGAACTCAACAAATCTAGACAATGTGTTATCCACCTGATTTCGCTAATTATTCTCATCTCGAAGCCCCTCTACCACCAGAGGGATCTCAGGTTGAGTCAGTAATTTGATAGATTTGAGATTTGATTTGAGATTACTCATTGGTAATTTATGTCTCCAGATTAGCAATCTGTGCTGGCCTCTGTGCTCCCGGATAAAAGGTATAATTCTCTGCTGCGAGGTTGCCACCGTGAACTACCTCAAAACCTTCAGCGCTTTCAAACTTTCCTTAAAGTCACCCCAGCGTGGTAGGGGCTTAAGAAAATTTCCGCTGCGGGGCGTGCCTGTTGAAATAGGTGGCTAAAAATCCAAGAGATTTTACCGCGATAGTCGGGTCTTTACTGTCGGGGACTGTCATTCCCGCAAAAAACTAATTTGGGGAATATTTTTACGGCTACAACAACAAAGGAATATGCTTTAAAGTCGTGAGCCGTGGCGGAAACCCATTAAACGAAGAACGCGGAATTATTTTCTGTTACTTGTATCGAGCAAAAGAGAACTCAGTATGCTTGAGGTATATTAACGAGGCGTATACCCCAGAGATGTTAAAATGATTGAACGTTGGTATACCATCTTTGGGAGTATCGTACCTTTAAAAGATTAAGACTTCACATATTTAACGAAGCTCCCAGCTCCAGCCTCACGAAGGTGATATTGAACTGCTTGCAAACATATAATTGGGTTACGTGGGGAGCACAATGAGTTTTCCAAATTGCTACGTACACTTTCGCTCAAGTCTAACCAGTACAGCAACCAACCACTTCTTTGTGGGTTAGAATGCTACCCGAGAGATTCACTCGCAGTCGGACTAAACACTGCACAGCGACCTTATAAGGTGACATTACCGCTAGAGGTCGTGACTTGATGTCATTTGAAACAGATATTAACTTATTGCGCACGAGAAGATCGAACTGTTCTGTGGCAACCAAATAATCCAGGCTTAGTAAAAATCTATGTATTGTAGCAGACTCAATTTCTACCTCTCCGGACTTGATTTTATACGTCCCGCATGCAATGATTTGCGCATGACATTAACCACCTCTTTGCATGTCTTCTTTTACAGACCGACATGTTAGAAGACCAAACTGTCATGCAAAAACTTTGCCTGTCTTTAAAGCGGATTTATGAATAACTATAATAACAACAAGTGCTACTCTCATCAGAGTCAATCTAAGGAGGTACTCACTAGTTGTCCAAGGGTATGTTGCGCATAAAAATACCTCTAGATTCGCTAAGAAATATGCCAAACCAGCTGATGGCGATTATTATCCATAAACACATGACATCATTTTCCGTATCGAGTTTTGGTTCCACTGTAAGTACAAAAACAAATTACGGAGATAAGGGGAAAGAACTCACAACGCCCACTTACCACAACAATTGGGAACTTTTTTGCAACCTTGTAAAGCCATCTCTAACGTTTTTATGGTATTCGATTCGCAAATTTTCTTTAAAATATTGTAATCATAAACACTCTCAATGCCTCTACAAAGCGAATACAAGGGAAAAATGCGTGGCAAGAAATCCATTTTTTCTGCAAAGCGCTTAAATCCTCTAGAAAATACCACAAATACAACCATGCCGATCGATTGTAGCGAAGTAATTTTAAAATAAGCGCCATGATTATTTTGAAAAAATAGCGTGCTTAAAAGATAGTTGCTTGAAGACAATGCGGCAGAGCCGAGCAAAATTAAGCCGAAACACCAACCTGAGAGAAAGAAACAAAAACTATTTTAGCGGCTTAATACAGACAGATGGCAGAGTTAATGTGCATTAACAACCATGTTAAATATTAATGCACATTAATAAATTTATTTTTTGTTTGCAAAAATAATGTTAGTCAGTGGTTTAAAATATATTATATATAGGAATGACGACAGTAGTCCTAGAGTAAACGTACGCATGGCAATCATGGATCTACAAATCAGAGCGTCCATCAGGAGAAAGAGAAGGTAGCTTAAGTTTTGCAGTCGTTGGAGTAGGTCATAATAAGCTTGTTTTCTAACGGCAATATTTTTCTTGTTGTAGTAAAAGTGAATTAAATTTTTCAACAAAAACAAACTACATATATTTTGGTTAGAAAAGGAGCTTACGAAAAACTATTGGTGGCGCATAAAATGGCGGTAGCAACATCCAGGCGACAATGACGGAGATAGATAAAACAATAAAGTTCTGAATCATGTCATACGTAAACATGGTTATCCAGAAGTTGCAGTTCTTCAAGCCAGCCAAACGCTGTATATTACTGAAACCGCTCCCACGCTCCTTCACCAAAATGATTATCCTTATCGATATCAGATAGCACATAATTAGAGATAAATGCAAAGCCGTTCTGCTGCCCATATTTAAGCCATTTCTAGATAACTCTTGGATATCCACCTTATTTTCTATAGGCAAAAATTCCAAATTTGCCGATATTTTCGCATTGGTTGTCTGCAGTAGTTGCCTGTAAGAAAATGCATATGTACATATGTATACCATTTACTAACGCCATGAACTTGCTTACCACAGGTATACATTGTGCAAGAGATTCAAAACAAGCGGACCAACTTGTGGCAGATAACCGTTAAACCAACCAGTCACATGGTTACGCACTGTCAGGCCGAGTATAATGCGTACGTTCCAATGCTTGTGTGGATTATCACGCTGTTCGCTCAAGAGATAATCATTGATTAATGTATTATTCATGCGTATGACCTTCACATTGCTGTTCTTCCAATACAGGTACTTGGTATATGTTTCTACGAATTTTAAGAGACGTTTATTCTCCGTTCGTACGTCGAGCAGTGTTATGGCGTCATCATAGTCGTTAATATCGAATTCGACAGTTGGCAAAACTTGTATACTTGGCGCTAAAATAAGAGCGCACAGAAAGAGGCACGTTATCGGCAACACTATAAATATGGGCCAATAAATTGCATACGATCGTGTGGTAGTAAAAAATTTATAAAATCTTGCATTCCACTGATTAAACAGTCTCTGGTGTAGATTTAGGTTAGTTTGCAGTTTTGTTGTCATAAATAAAGGCTCGGCGCTGTGATTGTCCGTGAGTGTTGTGAAATTTAGGCCATTGAAAATTCTCAAATAGCATTTGCGATCATCATATGCGGGTCGTTCGGCGGCAAGCTTACAGAAGAGCTCTTCCACTGGTGTCTCTATAATTGTTATATTTATTATGCCCAGATTGTCTTTAGCGGCTTCCAAGGCTTTAAGCATCGATTCGAGTAGCTCGACATTGGACGTTTCGACGTGATATGACAGTTCCAAAACAAGATCGCTGACGGCGGTAATGTCCGGTATGAATTTGCTCAAGAGCTCTGTTACTTCTTCCGATTTGCAGCTTTCGGATTTTGATATGAGCTAAGAGTAGGGTAGTCAACATTTAATACATTAATTTAATTTGTATCGATTTTTCGTAATCGATTATTTTACTGATTAACAACTATTTTTAATTTCTATATAAGTTCAACATATAAAGTCGATTTTCATGCGGGGAATGAAAAAAATATCGATTTATATCAAACTGGTTTGTATCGAAACAAAAAAATTCGAGTTAAGGTCATAAATTTTCAAACACTCCTTAAACATTTTTAGACTGATATAACCTACTTATGATTTAAAAACATCCTTAATATCTCCAAAAAAAAATTTTTCGGGTTTTTTTTGAATATATTATAGATTTATGAAAAATTTCAAATCGATGAACGCCCTGCTAAAATTTTGTGCTAAAATTATTTGAAAAAATTTCGAACTTTTAAAATTATATTTTTTCTTTTGTAAATTAAAAAACTTTAGATACATATATAACTTGAAAATTTTCAATTAACTTTTTCAAGTCAAGCTTCTGCAGTTTCTAAAACCTCAATTTAAATTTAAATTTTTATCTAAACCTTTTTAATGGGATAATCTCATTGTAAAAATCGGTTTATGATAACAGTTTTATTAAACTGAAGCTCCTGCAGAGGTTGCCACCTCATCAGGACATATTTTTAACTTAAAGCTTTTAAGCTTTTTAAGCTTTGAAATCATATTTAAACAATTTTTTAAGCGCAATATTTCATTTCGAATAGCATGAACACCAATTTGAGCATCTCGCCGTTCCTACTCACCAAATGGCATCCAAAGCAGTACATTGACCTAAGGAACTGAGCAGTTCCACCACCATTCAAACGTCCCTGCGACAGCATAAGAATATTATCAGCATGTAATTCCGGCTCACGGCTCAAATTTGTCGACACCAATATAACACGTCCGAATTTCTCTTGATCCAGCAACTTCCAAATGAGTTTATAATCGCACACGTCCAATTTCAAAACTACATCATCGAGTACAACAACTCTACTACCACCAATAAGTGCACAACAAACAGCCAATTTTGTCCTTTGGCCACAAGTTAGATTCTCAGTCAGTGTATAGCGTACTTCTTCCAGTTCCAACGCCTCCAAATACTTATTCACCTCCCTGTTTAGTTCAATGGTTTTCAAACACTTCAAACGACCAAACAACATCAACTGATGCCTAAGGTAGAGATTTTGAAAGAGCAAAGTGTCATTGAAACAAATTCCAACGAAATCGCGTGAAGGACCATACTCCTTGCGTTCACTATCCTCCTTAAAAACTACTTTGCCCAAGGTAGCCCTTTTGAGGCCGGCAATGACCTGCAGCAATGTTGTTTTGCCACTACCATTATGACCCATCAGCATTGTGATTTCGTCCTCATACAAATTAAAGGATACATCATCTAGTATTAATTTATCGCCAATTTCCACTGTTAATGAGATCACCTCCACTGCTGGTGGCTTATAATTGGCACGCACCTCACATACAATAGTTTTCGAATAACCACTGTGGTCGGAAGCGATGCGCATATTGTATTTTCGTTGTTTAGTCCATCTCACGCATCTCATCAAAGCTTGTCCAAGCATTGGCGCAAATATGCCAATAAATACCTGAATCACGCTTTCAACGCAAATAAACAACCCATAAGTGCCTACACTAAAACTGCGGTAAGATAATTCGTTTTTGAAGAAATTCGTCCAATTTAAGCCATCTTGATACTGTAGATTGAAAACTGTCTGCAGTGCCAGCGCAAATGCGGTATTGCCAAAGAGCGAGACGTACGGGTGTATAGCATCACTCAGAGATGTGGTGTGCAGTCCAACGGCGAAGGGGATGTATGTTATGATCCAGAAGACGGGCACAGCACAAAGAGCCATGTCACGATTTACAAATACACGCGATATCATATAGCAGAAACTGAGTACGTGTAAGTTGAAGGCAGTGAAGAGGGCAAAGAGGCAGGAATAATTTGATCTTGTAAATATACAGAAACCCTTGTTCCAAGGAATCTAAAGCAATTAAAATGAATAAATGAGTAAGTAAAAGTGAAAACAAATATTTTATCAATATATCGTTATCTGGGGTCATACTTTTAACATAAGCAGCAATATAGCGGTACCAATTGACATTGAAATCAGTGAAAAAACAAACCAACTGTAAAATTGTAGAAAATGAGTGGCATCCATTGTGGCGAGCAAAGAATGCAATTTTGATTCTCTTTCATTTATGAGGTTCTGGAAAGTATTGAAAAAAACATTGAAAAAGTATCTTATTCAAAAATAAAAAAAATTAAAATTAATTATTAACCAAATTTTTTTCAACCAGATTAAATAAAAAAAAAAAAAAAAACAAAGAAGTTAAATTAATCTGAATTAAATAAAAACTCAAACCAATTCAGTTTAAAATAATTTAACAAAAATCAAATTAGTATAAACTTAAATACGACGAAATAATTACGCATTCAATTAAACTAAACTAGATTAGCTAAAAAAAGAAAAAACTGCATTTCCAAAAACAAGACCCCAAAACTTAGTTGGATTAAAATAATTTCAAAAATTATAAGTAAACTTAATTAAAGTATAATTTGAAAACAAAATCTAATAAAAAATCAGTATGTAACGTAAAATAAAATAAAATAATGTAATTTAAAATAAATAGAATATTAAAATAAATAAATAAAATAAAAGATTAATAACATAAATTAAATAAAATATTGGTTTAAATCAAACCAAATAATTATTACAATTAAATAAAAATAATAAATGAAGTAAATAAAAAGATTAAACAGAATTTAGTAGAATAAAAATTATATGAAATAAATAGAATATTAATTTAAATAAAATTATTAAATTTATATTAAATTAATTAAAATAAAAGTTAAATCAAAATAAATAAGATTAATTATTAAATAAATATTAAAAAAACTAATAATAAATTATATAAAATAATAAGAATAAATCAAAAAAATATAAAATAAAGAAAAATTAATTAAAATGAAATAAAATAAAAAGGATATTAATTTAATTAAATTATTATATAAATATTAAAAAAGAAAGAATACATTTAAATAAATTGAAATAAAATAAACAGAATACTAATTTAAATTAAAATTTTTGATAAAAATATATACTAAGTAAGGCAAAAAAAAAAATAAATTAAACAAAATAAAATCAAATATTAAAAACAAAAAGAAATAAAATAAAATAAAACAAAAAATGATATAAAGCAAAATGAAATTATACTAAATTAATTCAAATGATATCAAACAAAAATAAAATAAAAAGAATATTATTTTAAATGAAATTACTAAATAAAGTACAAAATAATTAAAATGAAACAAAATAAAATAAAAATGAATAAGATAAAATCAAAAATTTAATTAAAATAAAATCAAATTAAATTACATTAAAATAACGGAGCCAAAACAAAATTAAATCATATTAAATTAAATTAAATCAAATCAAATCAAATAAATTTAAATATAAAAAAATAATAAATTAAATAAATTATAATGAAATAAAATAAAATAAAATATTATATAATAAATGAAATAAAATCAAATAAAATAAAACAATACAAAATAAAGTAAAACTAAATTAAATGAAATAAAACAAAATAAAATGACAAAAAACAAAATGAAATTATACTAAATTAGCTCAAATCAAATCAAAAAACATAAAATAAAAAGAATATTAATTTAAATTAAATAAATAAAGTACATAATAAATAAAACAAAATAATTAGAATGAAACAAAATAAAATAAAAATAAATGAAATAATAGCAAAAAAAAAAATAAGTTAAAATAAAATCAAAGTAAATTAAATAAAATGATATAAAATATAATAAAACAAAATTAAATTAAATTAAATGAACCAAAACAAAATTAAATTGTAAAACTAAAATTGTATAGTAAATTTAGTAAACTAGAATAAAATAAAATAAAATGAAAAAAATAACTTGAAACAAAATACAATAAAATAAAATAAATTAAAATAAAAAAATTAAATAAAAAATAAATAAAAAATAAATAAAATATAACATAATGTAATAAAATGAAATGAAATAAAATCAAATAAAACAAAATAAAATAACGTAAATAAAACAAAAAAAAAACTAAATAAAGAGAATATTAATTTAAATATAATTACTAAATAAAGTTCATAATAAATAAAATGAAAAAAAATAAAAAAATAACATAAATTAAAAAAAATTAAATTAAATTAAATTAAATCAAATCAAATAAATTTATATATAAAAAAATAATAAATTAAATAAACAAGATTACAATAAAATAAAATATAATAAATGAAATAAAATCAAATAAAATAAAATTGCAGAAAATAAAATGAATAAATTAAAAAAAAAATATAACATAAAATAAATTTAATTTATTTTAATTTAACTTAAATCAAATAAGATCAAATAAAATAAAATGAAAAAAAAATCAAGTAAAACAAAATAAAATAGAATAAAAAAAAAGTAAAATAAAAAACTTTTAATTAAAGTAATACTATATTAAATTACAAGTAACAAAATGACTTAAAATACGGAGAAAAATATATAATACAATCAAAAAAATTAATGAAAGTAAATTAAAGAAAATGAAATAAAAATAATTGAATTACAAATAAATTAAATTGAAATGTAAAAAAAATTAAATGAAATGTAAGATTTCTGTAAAATAAAATTAATTAAAAAAATTTTTAAAGAATAATAACTTATAATAAAGGAAAAAATCATACATATATAGAAATAAAGTAATTTAAAATACATTTAAAAATAAAATTAATTAATTGTATTAAAAAGGGTTTTTTTTTTTAAATTACCTACCTTCAACATATACAAAATTGGGCATATATAAGCAATGGTCAAAACCAAAGACAAACGCGTCTCCATCTTCTCCGACAGCGGATCATAGTAGTGTTCCGCCACCGGAAACTTGCGTATGAACAATTCCTCATGCAATGATTTATTACAAGTTAGATAAATATATGCCTCCGATATAGCCTGCTGTATTGTTACGAATCCTTCCGAAAGATATGGTGTATAGCCTTTAGTACGATAATGCCTTGCAAAATTCGTAAATAATTGTTTCGTATCCCAAGTTTCCCCGATAAACTTCTTATAGCTGCGCAACTCACTGGGGAAAATAATATTAAATTCCAATCTATTTGGATATATGCCGATTTTATGAATGGATTCTGATTCAATTTGAAAATTTTCTTCGTTGAAGCAAACACCGGCCAAATAGTGCTCAATTACCATTTTCTCACGCAGCTCATCACAAGTTGATAATGCCACTAATTCGGTGTTCTCTATGCCAAAACTCTTTGAAATTTCCATAATATTTCTAATAGCAAAAAGATTTGGTGCAAAAGCGATTGCAATACGTGGCGCATATATGCTGTATACCTCACTGCAGAATTTGACAAAATTATTACAATAAAAAGTATTAAACTTTAAACTTAAATATGTAGTTAATAAAAAATATTCGAAAGGCTTACGTGCCGAAATTCAACACCATTACATCTTGTGTCAATTTCACAAGTTTTTGCAACTGATCCCAATGTGAGCTAGTATCTTCGATGCCAAACGGTGAAGCAGTAATATGCTCAGCTGATATGTTGAAGCGTAGAATCACCACGACGAGGCTGCAAATGGTGGGCATCAAGAGGGCGAAAAGAAACTCCCAACGCGTATTCCATTGCATATAGCAATCCTTCCAGAACAACCATTTGAAGCGCAGCCAGTTGTAATTTGTCGGCACCAAATCCTCATCGGAGTGATCGCTGGGAATTTGCGTAATTTCTATAGGCATTTCTTCAAGTAATTTTCCATACAAAAGTCAATTAATTAATGAAATCGAGGAAGGGAAAAGAAATTTAAAAAATAAAAATTGTTGACATTAAAATGAGTAAGCAAACTTTTGTTAAAAATTTTATGCTTTAACAAGTCACAAAAGTACATAGTGATGGAAAACAATATTTCGTTACTTGTGTTACTTTAAAACTTCGGTATGTATGTACGCGCTTATCTAAGGAAATTCATTTGATAATTTTAGAATTTGAATATTATTATATGATAAAGGTCAAAAGTTGAAGCTTCGATGTCCTCGTTGTCAAACGAAAAGTTGCAGCAGAATTAGCGTCTCAAGAAATATCGTAATGGAATGTAGGCAGAATTATGGAGTGCTTAGCTGCCCTAATAACTATTTTGGGATAATGGCGAAAGCTTATTAGAGTTTCCGCCGGGAATAAATGGAAAATGCCAACTTCATAAAGTCACAACAACACTTCAACTTTGAGATATCGAGCATTAAAATAAAATATTTACAACCCTTGATAGGTGGAGTCTCAAAGAGAGGGACATTACTTGTATCCTCAGTTAACTATAACCCAATTTCACTAAAGTCAAGGGGCCCAAATAATGTGCAATTTCAAAAAAATCGATCTTTTTTCATATTTCGGTAGAAACGACCAAAATTTTGAGTAAAATTCGACTAGTTTTCTAAAATGCCGCCATATTGTCAATTTTTTTTAGATTTCATCCACGGAGATGGCCGGAATAACTGCAGCAGTGAAGGACCTTTTTTTCGCGCCGCTGGAGATCGACTATAACTTAAAAAATATTTAATTTTTTTCTTCAAAAATTTCACTGTATATTTTTGAAACATGTATAACATATTTTCTTAAAATTTTGAAATAATTGATAAAGTATTTTTTTTTAATAAAAATTTACAAAAATCACCCTTTATACAATACTTGTTTCGACCCTTAAATTAAATGCATCTCAGAAAGGAGCTTTCAGTTCTCAGCTAATAACTTTTGTCTAGCAAGAACCAGAGCTTTCTTGTGGAGACAACTTATTCTCCTTAATAGCAGTTGTTATTGTACCGCTCTCGGTGGGGCAAAGAGCCAGTAAAATATGCACTGAACGAATGCAACATAGATATTTCGTTGCCGGCTAATTCTTAATGAAATTTCTCCTCGGCCAGAGCTTATATGATCGCATCAAGAGGGAGCTATCATTAGGTAGAAAAGAAATATTCATGCCCTCAAAAACTGATCACTAAACTTGCTTCTCACTACCAACCATGATATAATAATTTAAAAGTAGCTTCATTCTCTCTTCGTAGTCTGGCATAAAACTTGTTTCGGGTTTTTCGTGCTACACTCTTCTATTAAAAAAAAATCTACTATTTCTAAATAAAATATATGAGGAAAATTTTCATATATTTTTTAAATGTTCAAATATTCAAAAATCAATATTTTTCAACCCCTGATAGTGGACTTAATCGAGTGTATGCCTCACAGTTCTAGACACATTTGAAGGAAATTTTGTAAGCAAACAGTTAGTTCTTGATTTTTGAGAGCATTGAAAATTCACTATAAAAATGGCATAATTACGTTTGAAGTCGATTAAACTTCCAAACACTTTTGAATCCAAACTAAAGGCCAAAAATATTGATACTAGCAAGTTAGTTAGTTAAACAGTTTGTTCGGTCACGCAACCACGCTCTCTTGATAATATCTTTGTTGGTTCTACAAAGAAGATTACTCTCGCCTTTATAGATTCCCAAACCAGTTGGGGTAATTCACGAAGGTCAGGAGATTAATGATGCCTAGGCAAGCTATTCTAAGTAATCGAAGACGAAATTTCCGAGAAATCGATAACGGACCGCACAGGTTATTGGGGTTTTGACTATCCTATCCGGTCATTTAATCGGCCCCGCAGTTTTCTGGGTGCCCCTATAACCAGAGCCCTAAACCATGAACTTTTGGCTTATAGTTGAGAAAATCTAAAAGCCTAAGTTTAAAAAAAAAATGAATGTGAATGAATGGAAATTCTTTCCATATTATTTATCTATCTAGCAAATCCTTTTTTTACTTTTGCCGCGTATGAAAAACGGCTTGAAAATTACCCCAAAATAATTAAAAAATTTCCAAGTTGAAAATTTTTTAAGTGGCAAGATCAAACATTTCTCAGCAAACACGTTTGTTTGTGTCAAAAAATTCGAAGTAAAACTGCTCCAAACCATTTTATGAAATATTTTCGATATTCGCAAAACAATTATAAATAAATCGAACTAAAATTTATTATATTTGATGTAAAAAGTATATAAAGAAGAGTAGTTCAATACTTACCACGTGTGTGCTTCATTTCTACTCGAGTAAATTAAACTCGCAAGCAAAAGCATTTTTTCACCACGAGTTAAGGCGACTTGTGTTTGTCTGCCCTGATATGAACTCCTTCTGAATTCAACTCGAGTATAATATTGGACGTTTAAGCTTGAAGGCTTAACCTGAGTAGAAATAAAGCATAAACGTAGTAACAGTCGTACTATGTAACAATAAATAAATCGAACAAAAATTATTAACAGAAACATATTAAGAAGAGAACACAAATTAACCAACTCTAGGTTTTCGCGCATTCTCAGCTATCTGCTCGAATATATAATTCATATTGATTGTAGTGATCGTAATGCTCTCAACATTCAATTGGAACGAATTCAGCCGGAGAGTCTTGAAAATCACGGACAAAGTTGTACTATGATGTGGTATGTAGTACTTCATGATTGTGCCCTCTTGACTAGAAAAACAAAAAATTACACGTATTTGAAATACTGTTAAGATTTGGTCCCACTTCACTTACACCAACTTCGAAGTGGGAAATGTTTTCTCCATAAAAGCGGTCAAGCGGAAGTAAACCTTCGATGTTACGCCATGCGGTGTCTGCACGGTCTTCTTCATACGCATAACAACCGAATAACCCTTAGCCAAGGTGGCTCCAATCTTCTCTGGACTGCCGATATGCACAAATTGACCATCACGCATAATCGCGATTTTAGTGCATAGAATCTCTGAGTAAGAATTCGCAACAGATGTAACCATGACAGCTGTGCCTTGCTTGCGCAGCCCGTCCAACAGACGATACAGCTGACGTCTGCCGTGTGGATCAATACTCAAACTGAAATTGCCGATGCATATAAGTGAGGGTTTCTTCAAGAGTGCTATCGCCAAGGACACTCTCTCCTTGATGCCCGAACTGCAGTCATCCAAAAGCATGTGATAGTGTGAGTATAAACCAAATTGTTTTGCAAAATCTTCACAGATCTCTTTGATCTCATTACGTGGATAGCCATAGAGTACGCAAAACATTTTCAAAATCTGCGCGCAAGTTAAACGCAGCTGTACGCAACTAACGGTGGGCACATAGGCGATGTGTGCGAGCGCTTTGCCACGTTCCTCGGTTATTGACGCATTATTGATGTGTACACGTCCAAAGCTCGGTTTCTCTTGGCCGGCTATGAGCCGCAGCAGTGCATTCGTATAATTACAGTTAGTGCCGATAATGCCAAATTTTTCACCACTGAAGAAAATGAAAAATAAAACAGTGGGAAAAGTGTGATAAAATTCGAAAAAATATTTCACTTCCGTCACGGACTCACGGTCTGATTGTGAAGGATAGTCTGTCGACTAGAATTCTATTCTTTCGTATTAAGCCCAAATTTTCACAAATCACATTGTAGTAATAACGGTTGCGCGGTCGCATTGATTGTACAATTATATTTTCGGCTGTGACGCTATCCACTTCGTAAGAGTTACTTGCATGACGCCGCTTATACTCGTCGAGTGCACGATCGCTAAAGAAATTGTGTTGAGTGTGGTGTGATTATATCATTTTCTATTAAATGCCATCACAAAACCCATCGCACTACTATTCTTTCGGCACAATTGAACTCAAAGTTTATTGTTTTGAAATTTCATTTTAGATTCTAGTATAACTGTTTCTTCAGGACCATCCCAGGGTAGCCGCCTAACCTCTCACTATTCATAAATGATATTTCTTCTGAGATAAAAAAAAATCAAAATATGCTATATATGCAGCTGATATTTGACTGACTTTGGCAAATAAAGCTTTTTTTGGCACAACAAGACTTGAACAGCTTAGTTGAATGGTGGAAAGTTAATCGGATGCCCCTAAATCTTAGAAAATACAAAAGCCTTCTCTCTACGAACTATGCCGACAACTACTCTCATTGCAAAAAACTGTAATTTGCCTTGGAACCTAACCTTGGCATTCGAAAAACGTTGGTCGAAGGAATTCAAGAGCCCTTATGCTATGATCAAAACATTAGTTAGACCTTTTCTGGAAAACGGCTTGGAAATTTACAACCAGAGTTTCCAAATCTACTCTGATCAAATAGATTCTGTTCAAAAAGAGGGTCTCCTTCTTGTACTGTTACTCTCGATTCCTCCTTATATCAGGTGTACAACTTTGCTTCCGCCGTTTTCCGATTGGTGGCTGTACCGGCTGAGGCTGGTTGAAATACATAGAAGATAATGCCTTTGAAGTGAGTGTGGACAGTGCCTAACGAATTGTCATAGCCGTTTCAGTGACAGTTGTTCTTGTTTTCGTATTATTCACGCTCGAAAGTGTCCGTTTATGTGCCTTATTCTCGCCATTTGTAGGAAGTTTTACTTTTCTGTGACAATTCGAAAAAAAATGCAGCTGAAGCGCATCGAATGCTCTCAGAAACTTACGGTGATGCTGCTCTGAGTGAAAGAACGTGTCGGGAGTGGTTTCAACGAATATTCACGACGCCAAGGTTATGATTTGTATTTGGTGGGATCAGCTCGGTATGATTTACTACGAGCTCTTAAAACCGGGTGAAACCATCACATGAGATCGCTACCGGACGCAACTGATGCGCCCTAGTCGCGCGCTAAAAGAAAATCGGCCACAATATCAAGAGCGACATGACAAAGTCATCCTCCAACACGATAATGCTCGGCCTCACGTCGCAAAAGTGGTCAAAAATTACCTGGAAACGCTGAGATGGAAAGTCTTGCCCCACCCGCCGTATTCCCCAGATGTCGCCCCTTCTGACTTCCACCTATACCGTTCGATGGCACACGGCCCGGCAGATCAACATTTTCAATCCTTCGAAGAATTGGAAAAATGGATTGCTTCATGGATAGCGTCAAAAGAGGACTCCTTTTTTCGAGCCGGGATCCGAAAATTGCCGGAAAGGTGCAAGAAAGTTGTCGCTAGCAAAGGACAATACCTTGATCAATATATTTGTAAGCACTTTTTCGCAATAAAGCTTTAAATTTTGAAAAAAAAAAACGGCGGAAGCTAAGTTGTACACCTGATACTAGTCGTCTGAAATGTATTAACCGAAATGCCGACCGTTTAGGACGTCCAGTCATTTCAACCCCTCTTTCTTAAAACTTGTGAAAAACAAAAATTTTGCATCTCACCAATGCTTACGATATTTGTGTCCTACTTTCAACTGTTATTCCAGGTTTTTTGGCATATCTGGCTCGCTCTTTCATATTAAGAAAGAATTAGATCAACTTTGAGCTAAATACTAGTGGCTTTATGTATACTAAAAATAAGTATAGTCATTTGCTCAAAATTAGATGATGAATTTTCGCTCCGTAGCGGAAACTGTTAGTTCTCAAAATTTAATAAACTCCTGCTCATCGTGCGACGGTCAGTGGTTCGTCATATGAGCAGGAGGTGGGAAACCGTTGGGAATAATAATAAACTAAACTCCAACACGGCAGATAAAGGAAATTTACATATATGTACATATGTATGTAGGTTTGTGCGCCTTTTATCATAATAGTGATGTCACAAATTTTGTGACAGCTCGATTGATAAAGGAAAATGAATTAACGTACTAATTATCAATTGGTATGGCACATGCAAACAGATTTCTACACTCAAAAATCAATATTCCAAGCCAACTGAGCATAATAATGATCCACAAACACGAAACATCATCGTATATAGTAAGTTCGAGATCCTCTGAAATTGAGGGAGAGAAATTTAAGTAGATTTTTTTATTATTTCGAAAGCACCATCCAATACCCACCACAACAGTTGGGTAACTTTTCACATGTTTCCCACAGCACGGATGCTACATAAATACTCTCGCTAACACACAATTCCTTTTGCATATTATAATCATATATATTTTCGACGCCTCTGCAAAAGGAATACAAAGGGAAAATTCGTGGAAGGATGGCTATTTTGTGAACATAATTTTTGAAATTTCTCGAGAAAAGTACGTAGAATATCGCGCCCATTGCTTGAAATGTTGTAATTTTGAAATAAGCACCGTGACTACTTTTAAAAAACAGCGCTCCCAGCAGATAGTTGGTCGAAGTAATAGCCGTGCTTGCCAATATCAGTAAGCCAACACACCAGCCTTGAAAAGATTTCAAAAAAATGTGGTCAGTAAATTAAAACAAACTAAATAAAATTTATTTTCAAAGACTTACGCAATACAACTGTTGGCACATAAAGCGTGGAGAATCCTATCCAAATAATTGCTATGAAAATTGTCATGAAAACAATGATTTTGAGCATATCAAAGACGAACATTGAAGTCCAATAATTAATTGAGCTCAAACCAGCTAAACGCTGTAAGCTCTCGAATCCACTCGAACGCTCCGATACCAAGTACATTATCCTTAAGGACATTAGATAACATAAAATAAAGGACATTTGTAAAGCCATTATGCTGCCCATGTTAATTCTTCTGTCACTTATTTCTCTAATATCAACTTCACTTTCAATGGGTAAGAACTCCAGCGTAACATTTATTTTGGCATTGGTGTTGTTGCGGTAGTACCTGAAAAGACGGAAGAGAAATAAATTCCGTTGATTTATGATTTTAAGACTTTTGGCCCTCACCAAAGATATGAATTGTGCAGCAGATTTAAAACAAGCGATGGAATGGCCGGTAAATATCCATTAAACCAACCAACAACACGATCATCAATGGCCACTCCCAGCAATATTTTATGGCTCAAATAATTATATGTGTGCTGGCGCTGTTGTCTCAGTATATACTCGCTGGTCAGTTCATTCTTAATATGTCTTATTTTAATATTACTATTTCTCCAGTATAAAAAACCATTATAAGTTTCTGCAAATGCTAAAACCTTTTTGGATTTAGAGCCTACGGCGAGTAGAGTTATGGCGTCTTTATAGTGGTGAATATCACAATCTCTTGCCGGCAATTCATCAACATGTGGTGTTATAGCGAATACCGTTATAATTATGCATATAGTAGGTAAAATGAGAAACATTGGGAAATATTTTTTATATGAATTTTGTATGAGAATGAATTTGTAGAACATCGCACACCAATTGTTATACCATCTTTGGTAAATGCTCGGTTGCCGTAGGATCTTCGTATTCATGAATAAAACATCATCGGGATCGCCTTCGGTGATGCTTAGACCATTGAAAATTCTCAAATATCGTTTACGGTCATCGTAGGCGGGTCTTTCGGCGCCAAGCTTACAGAAGAGTTCTTCTATGCGCGTCTCAATTATCGTTATGTTTATAATGCCGAGCTGCTCTTTGCGCGATTCCAAAGCCTTAAACACCGATTCGAGCACCTCAACATTCGACGATTCGATGTGATAGGATAACTCGAGTACAAGGTCACATGCTGCTGCTATGTCGGGTATGAATTTGCTCAACAATTTTGTTACTTCTTCGGACTTACAACTTTCGGATTTGGATATGAGCTGTTCACAAGGAGATGGATATAGAAAATATATATGTAATATATTTTTTTGTGAAATACTATATATAATTGGCACTTAGTAACCGCTGAAGCGATTAGTCTCTTGGTGCGAGGTCCGGAGTCTGGACTCTAAGGTGGATGCATAAGAATCTCACAACCAAGCTCACTGAGCTTCTGACGAGATACTAGCGACTTGTGCGGTCTGGCGTTGTCCTGATGAAGTAAAATTCCCTCTCGTATTGGTTAAACCTAAGCACATCTGAGCGATTGCTTCCTTCAAATGGTCCAAATTCTGACAGTAAAGGTCGAGGGGAGTAGTTCATAGCTTATGATTCCTTCCCATTCCCAACAAACACCCAACAAGCCTGGGAATACCTTGGGCAGGGAACTTCAATCCTTCCGAGTATATTTTCTACATGAAAAAAATCACCTCATAAAATCCGTTAGAAAATATCAAGAAGCATATACAGATTGGAGGAGGAGCTCAGCTGAAAATCATATCCCTTTGCAAACCGTTATAAATTTTAATAAATGTTTTACATTTGGAACATATAGTAAACTCTCAACAACCCAAATTCTACTATTGATTATTTCAGTACAGCAATACGACAAATAAAAAAATCATTGAAGCCACCACCTTATTGACGCTCTGGGAGCTTTTTATATACGAATCATTCCACTATTATAAAACTACAAATACAACTCACCAAATGGCATCCAAAACAGTACATTGATTTCAGGAACTGAGTAGTTCCAGCACATCTTAACCGTCCCATTGCCAGCATCACGATATTATCTGCATGCATCTCCAGTTCGTGGCTAGAGTGAGTTGATATCAATATAACACGGCCGAATTTTTCCTTTTCCAATAATTTCCAAATGAGTTTATAATCACGAACATCTAATTTCAAAACAATGTCATCCATCAATACGATTCTGCTACCACCAATAAGCGCACAGCTTACTGCCAGTTTAGTCCTTTGGCCGCAAGTTAATTTCTCTATGAGTGTATAACGGTCTCTATCGAGTTCCAGTGCCTCNATAAAATAAAATAAAATAAAATAAAATAAAATAAAATAAAATAAAATAAA